AATGACAAAAAGAAAAAAGCAAATCACTGAAAATCATGTTTTTATCTTGTTGATTTTTTAAAAATCCATGATCTACCAGAAATGGTTCCAAAACAAGAAGTCATTCATTTGTGATTTTTGTTCTTCCAAAATTTCTTTAGTAGACATTTTGAAAGCTATTAATTTCATTCAAGAAGCAGTGTGGGTGAATAAACCTATTGTAAATACTCCTATACATCTATTAGTTTTTTTGCTAGCTATATGCGTCGAAAGCTTCTCTATTGTGCTCCATTTATGGATAACTTTTAAAATACACCGAGGGCTTTGAAAGAAAAATGGATTCCCATGAATGGCTCTGAGAATCTTAATGCGCGATTAGAGGAAGTTATTCACTATTTTCAGGTCTTGCTTTTCACTAGCCAGTCATGGCACATGGAACTCCCTAGGAGTTTCAGAAGTTTTCTCTTCCCTGGTAAAAGGGAGAAACATATGTAGAGAAAAATGGATTCCAATGAATGGCTCTGAGAATCTTAATGTGCGATTAGAGGAAGTAATTCACTATTTTCAGGTCTTGCTTTTCACCAGCCAGTCATGGCACATGGAACTACCTAGGAGTTTCAGAAGTTTCCCTTCCCTGGTAAAAGGGAGAAACATATGTAGATTGTCCTTGTTATGCAACTGTCCTTCACTGACTCCATGGAGGAATATCATTAGAAAGCATAAGAAAAGGAATAGTGAAAGGCCTCATCGTTTTTAGATTCTGAAGAATTTATACCACCTGCTTCACTCACCTGACTGTTTCAATATTCGATACCCAAAAACCGATCCAGACGACGTGGTGAAAAATAATGATAAGAATTTTTCGTTTGTCTCATCTTGTACAACTGGTGTGATAGATGTCAACTTATGATCTTTGGGACTTCCATGGACTATCCATTTCCACTTCCTTTGGTTTAATCGTCTCTCTACCAATTTACCACCCTGGATATACAGAAAATATTGTGAGTAGAGGTCAGATGATAATTTGGCTTTCTGGAAAACATTTGTTCTTCATATTATTCCCCCTGTTTGTGTTGCCTTTTTATCACTTACTGTTGTATGGGTGTTTGTAGTAATTTGTTTTTGTTTACAGATATGGTACCTTAGTTAGAAGAAAAAGAGAGATGGAGTATTCTCCACTCAAGCCATGTAGTGTGCATCCCATTGATGGCATCAGAGAAGCATCTACTATTGTCCCTTCTGCCCATATATGCTTCTTCCATGATGGCTTTGAGCTCCTATCATATTCATAAAGATCTCCTGTGGAACTGCATTGCAGCACACTTTGTTTCAAATGAAAACGAAGATAATAGCCAAGAACCGAGGGGCCAACTTAGCCACAAAGCGTGGCTTGATTGGACACCTACACAGAATATCTGAAAATAACTACAGGCGTCATCATATCTAATCTGATGTTTGGCAGTGCACTTATCAGGAGTCAAATAATAACAGTGATTTCAATTAGATTATACTTCTTGTTAACCTAGTCTCTTTTAATTTTTGAGTTGCATCGAGTTATTGATTTGAGAGAGATCTCACCTTATGGTATATACTACGTCTGGTCTAATAGTAGCAGCATCAACAATTGCTGCAACATCTGCACCAGGTGGTCGCCCGTGATTTTCCCATCTGTTCCATGTTTATAGCATAAATTTCGTTAATATTAGAGTCTCCTCATCAGAATCTACACCGTGAGCAGTTAAGAAAATTCAAAAGCAATAAAACTAGTTTTAGCGATGATGGTTTTTAGTTTCAGAAGCACAAGTTTTACCTTGGAGGCTCTGCCTCACTGAGTTCTAATAACGAGCCATTCTTTGTGCAGAAATAAATTTTCCTGGAAAGTAACGCGGTGGAAGCAAGGAGTTCATTAGCACATTTGCTGCAGTAATTTAATGTGATTATGCTGTTTCGGACTCTGGTATGTATTGAAACAGAAATATTGCACTCACAGCCCATCATGAGAAATGAGGCCGGAATTTATTAGCATCAATGAACTTTGTTCTGCTTCTCTATTTGTGCTTTCGTCGAGAGTAGGTGTGAACTCTACCCAAATTGGCTGTGAGCTCTCACCGAGTATCATCTGAAAAGGGAAAACAAAGAAGATAAACGATCCCATACTAGAAATAATAGTGCAGTTTAGCAGTTGTAGTGTGCAGTTAATCCATTTTTATTAAGCAGTCATCAGAGCACGCTTAGTGTCAAATTCGGATTCCTTGCACGGTTTATTAGCAGAAAAGTATCTAAGAAGAATTAGTTTTGGTTTCAATTGAAATTATTTAGTTGCAGTGTTCTGTTTATATATCAGAAAATCATGGGACCATTGCTTGAGCAGCTTCAAATACAAAACACGTGGTAGAGCTAATTGACATGGAGCCAGTCCAGGTTATACAAGAGTGCCATGCCTGCATGTCAGACTTAAGTGGTGACCAGGTTACACTGATCACAAGTGCTTGTATAATATAAATTGAAAATTAGATGGTTAGTACAAAGAAGCATGTGTTCCTTCCTGATTGAATCCAGTACTACAGGAAGACAGAAGGCTCTAGCAACTACTAGTCAATCAAGGTTTGCTGGTCTCCAAGTCTGATATTAACGATCTCTGCTCACCAGACTAAGACTCATAGAAACATGATAGGAATAGTAAATTAAAGGGCAGAAATATAAGTGATCTTAGAAGAAACCTAAAACAGGAGTTTTTTTTTTTTTTGGAACTAAGCTTGATAATTGCAAAGATGTTGAATTGTGTAAGCTTTATTCCAAAATCATAGGGACAAGACAACAACTGTTATGAGCTTATATGATTATGCAGCTCGAAGAAGACCAGTACCTGATATAGGGTTCCTGCTTCTGATAGAGCAAGAATAGTTTGATTGACAATAAAGACACAGATTGCATGACCAGTCAATACTGGCAGATCATGGGGTGCTATCACCCACTGGATTCCATTCCAGAACCTCTCATAGATAGACCCACTTTCACCAGTGACCCAAATGGATGACTCAGACATTTTAGTCAGAGAAATTCTCTTCCTCAAAGGCAGAACAATCTCAGAATTCGCTTCTGTTCCTCCATCTTCAACCTTCCTTTTCAGATTCTCATTTTTCTTGGAATCATTATTCTCTCTTTCTAAGTTCTCATCTACATCTCTTGTTACTGGATGAATTTTACCCACTGTAGTACAGTTGTCATTAACACAAGAGACAAGTTCATATGGCAGCTCCACTTCAACCCAGGTATTGGATTGCTCTTGGAACTCCCAGAAACGATCAGTCTTCTGCTCAAATTCTCTATTCTTTTGTTGAGCATAGTTACGTGGGCACCAAGAAGCAGAACCAAGGCTCAATGACAAGAGGACCAAGATGAAAAGTAATAAATGAAAACAAGGCATAGTGGCATGACAGAAACTGGTGATAAAAAGGTTCCGATACATACAGAAGACTTCGAAACTACGATGTGCAGGTGGTTTCAGGTACAAGTCAGGTAGGTTTTTTGTACCCTCTGTGGAGCCCCATATAGGGCCAGAACAAGAGAAGGGCCACAGGAAACTACTCAAAGGATCTGACCATCATTATTTTGAAGACAAGGAGCTCTCTTCATGGCCTTCTCACCAGGACCAAATAAATACAGAGGGAAGGTTGTGGGGGGGTCCAATAGTCCAAATATACATGGGACGGAAGATGGGGTTAGTTAAAAATTGATATAGTTTCCCTTAGATTTTAACTACCTCCTCATTTGTCAACTCTCTGTGGTCACAATAACAAAGACAGTGATGATGTGTTTTGGTGGGGTTGCTCATCTTTCTTACTTTGTAATGCAGTGAACGAGCTTCAATTTTCTTAGCAGCTAATAATGATCTTCTCACCTAATTCACGACTTGTCACTTTGTGCCAAGTTACTTTTTCACCTGTTTGCATGATGCAATATACAGAGTTTAATCAAATATGGTAAAAGAAAAACATATTTTTTGTGGACAATTCTTGCTGCTTTTGCAAAATTATTCCTTCATGGAAGTTCCAGTACTAGACATAATCCCCACAGCAAGGAACAGATTCACTGCATCAGATGCTGCATGTTGCAAGAAAGTTTGATCAAATAATAGGATGATTATGCCCATCCAGTTGATGATGATGGCGGCATATCAGATGTAATGCCATTGGTCACTTGACTTCCTATGAGTAGACTTGTGAATATTCCTTTTCCTTTTTTTATTTTTTTATTCTGATTGAGTCTAAAGAGATGAGGTAAGATGTCATTGATTTTTTTTGCTTGGGGGGCTTTCTCATTAGTCTTTGAAAGAGACACAGCAACCGTAACGGCAAGCTGTGGAACTCTCTCTCTGTTCTCCAGTTTTAATCAATCCATAGATTAGACAAGCAAAAGAAAAGGTTAGTACGCAACAATGGAACTTTACTTGCATGATCCTCCATAGCTCCGCAAGTGAACATCATCGGCTTTTTAAGATGCAAGACTCTTTGCTTGTTGAATGAATGAAGAACCTGGATTGAGGGGCCTAATCATCGAATTCCATTCTTTTATGGCCATTTGTTCAGCCGTTGTCTTCACGTACTGGGTGCTAATTGTCGGGTCTGTAGATATGGAAGGTAATCGGTATCAACGGGTTGAATTTCTTGATATTCATATTCTAAAAAATTTAAATATTTATAAACTATCTATTATTATTTATTAATCAATAAAAAATAAAATAATTAATATACACACACTAGTAAAATTATTTATGCTCCGTTACCAGTCGAACTATTCTTTTTAAAAACTTAAAGAAATGTTAAGAATGTAAAGATTTTTTAATAATATCATTAAATCTAATTAAATAGTTTAATCTTGAAATTTGCTAACCTAACTCTACGCCTAACTCAAGTTTTTAATTGAATTGCATGAGAGCTGACCCAAAATAAATTAATTAATTTAATGGGTTTAAAAATTACTTAAATCATAAGTAAAAACATAATATAATTTTTTTAAAAAAAATTAAAATGATATTGTTTTTTAAATATTAAGATGATACCAGATTGAATTGATCTCGATCATCTTACGACCTGAATCATGGATTTCAATGAGTTTAAACTTGTTAATGAGATAATCCAAGTCAATATGTTAAACTCGAAACTGGGCAATCTAAGTTAATACATCAAACCCGCAAGTTGGGTAATAGACTCCATTAGGATTAATAATTTTTTTCTTTTTCTAAAATATTCTTTATTTAATTACATGATAAAAAAATGATCACAAAATCAAGTGTCAAACCAATACTGAGAATTTTTTTTTAAATTATGATAACATCATAAAAAACAAAATCAAACAAATTAAAATACTTAATTTTTAATTAACCTGATATTGAATGATGAAATAAAAAAATAAAAATTAAACTCGTCAAAGCTACGAACAAGCCCACAAACTTCTTAAAATTTAATAACATGTTTTTGTTTAACTACATGATTAAAAAAAAATAAAAATTCTCCTAATTGAGTCCTATTGAGTTCTATTAAAAAACAAAAGTAATCCTTTAAACCCATGAACTGAGATGATTAAAATTAGAAAAACAATGTTTTACTTTATAATGGATATATATATTAAATATTATTTATAAATGTGTATTTTATGTTAATATTAAAGTATGAATATATTATATTACATTAAGAAAATTTAAATATTCTATAAATATATTTATATAATATAAAAATATATTTCGAGTTAGATAGAAATCTCAAGTTTAATTTGATGATCTATTCACCACCGATTATCTGTCTATCTAAATCACATCGGGTGAACAGCATCCATTGATTGGGATTAAATTATCATTTCTAGGAGATTGTGAGGCCTTGGGATTGGAGGTCATCATGTGCTGTTCTTACTAATAAATGGAATCTTTGGGTCAAAGTCAAAGAATCTACCAGGGCCGTTGGCTCTCAAGATTCCAATCTCCCGAGTAGTGGGGGAGGGCTTAATTGACTTTTCATCAATTAGTGATTAGCCGACAAATAGGGTTCGCAACGTGGAAGAGGTAAAATCAATATAATTATATTGCACATAATGGGATTTGTTTGCCTACATAATCACTGTGAGAAAATAAAATGCACCCTTTTTTTAATATTCTTTTTTATGAAAATAAAATGCACTTGTTGAATATATATATATATATATAATTTTATTTTAAGAAGATAAAGATAAGTAACGAGGACGATATGAATATAATAAAAACTATGATTTAACCTCTCCAATTTCTTTAACTGATTAATTAATAAAAGAAAAAAAATATGTAAACTGACAGGATGACTAATTAAGCAGGCTTCTTTTTGATATCATATGGGCATGGTGGGCAGGGTTGATTACTCATTAATTATTTGGGACGTAGTAATTAACTTTTGCCAGGTGGCAGTGAAAGGCTGACACACGCACACACATTGTCCGCAGGAAGGTCCGTTTGTCTTTTTTATCGTGTGAGGTTGATTTTGTCGCCCTTTAAAATATAATTAGCTTAAAAAAATATTAAATTTATATATATTTTTTAATAATTTTATAGTATTACTATTGAAAATAAAAAAATCTTAATAAATTGATTTAAATATATTTTCAAAATAATAAATATTTTTTAAAAAACATCATATATTATAAATACCAAACACGTACCATGGACAATATAAATCACATTTAGCCTAAAAAGGATTTTTCTCATTGAAAATTAAGGAGACATGTTTATCAAATATAATGTTTTTCATAATAGAGAACAAGGGTCCTGTTTGGCTTCAATAAAAAAATATAAGAAGAAATTACTTTGTTGTGGGTTGGATATTTTTTTTATATAAAAAATTTTAACATGTAAACTATTTTGACATGTTTTTTTACATAAAAAATATCAACTATAAATTAAAAGATTTATTTGTATATCTAATTAAATAAATCAAGAATCATGTATGTTAACAAATAGAAATAGATCATCAATTATAACTAAATATATATTTGAAAAAGTCAAGAAGTAGATATAAATCAATATATTTAATCCGCAATACAGTTAATTTATCCTATTATGTTCAATAACTATACCTATTAAAATTATTTTTAAATCAAATAATAGTATAAATAGACACACTCATAAAATTGATTAAATAAAATCAAGGAAAAAAAATAATTTTATAAGGTTGCACTTATTAGAAAAACTATTTAAAAATAAAGTTTAATAATATAAAACATAAAAAAAGTTATAGATGAATTAGAAAAGTCTTTTTAAAAATCAAATATATACAAAATACTTAAAAAACAACCACTATTTATAAAAAACAAATTCAAAAATAAAAATAAGATAGAATAGATATTAACTTAAATATAAATTTTAAAAATATTTAAATAAAAACATATAAAAAAGCATGATTTTCCTTTAAAAATCCAAGATTATAAAAAAGAAAGAAATGAAGAGATTAGTCCAGTGCCTAGACCATTTAGGAGTGCCTGCGAGCAACGTGTTTTTTTTAGATGTATTCAGGGTAGATGACATGTTGTTTACTCTAATTTTTATTTTTAAATAGTTAGACTATGCATTATTTGTCTTTGCCTAAATTCTAGCTATTATGGTAGCTAAAAAATTAAGTTTGAAGGATTTCTCAAAAAACAAAATCTATTTTCAATTCACTTTGACCCAAAACACTTAAAAAATACTTTAAATATCTTAATAAATTCATCCATGACCTCTAAATACCTAAAAAACCATTCTAAAACTCGAAATCAACCTGAAATTAAAAATTTCTCGAGCTCATATATGTTTTTTAGACAATTTCAATGTAAAAAACGCCTAAGTTGTAGTCTCTTCATCAAATAGAATTACTTGACGCAAAAATCGATCATTTTGATAATCAAAATTATTGCCAACAATAGTTTTTTCTATTTATCGTCAAAATCCAGTGTTCTCTCTCTTTCTCTCAAATCATGAACTTAAAAATAATAAAAATAAACTTTTTGTGCAAAATCAAATTAAAAAAAATATTGAGCGACTAAATAGGTGCAACATGTGAAGTTTGATGACTAAAGTGAATGTTTTTTAAAACTTTGAAACCATCATTCATTTGTGTTGTCTTTTCCATTTTGATCCCTCGTCTTTCAATATTGTTCTTAATGAACAAGTTTAATTTAATTGTCCTTAAATTTAGCTAAAAAAGGATGCAATGGTGCAAAAAAGGTTTGTGGACCAAAATGAGAAAAATAAAAAATTCTAAACATTTAGTTCATTGTAAAATGTAAGAGAATAAATAATACACGTATATATTAAAAACACCATACTATTTTGTGTTTTCTACTAGTTATGTGACTTGCAATTCACTGCAAGTCATATATTTTTATCTATTATAAAAAGAAATTGCATGCAGGTTTTTTAGATGCATTTTCTCATTAATTTTGTTTTTGAAATGCAAATTAAAAAGTTTATGCATGCAAGTAATCAAATAAGGTGTTATTAAATAAATAAAAAGTTATTAATGATAAATAAAAACTAAACTAAAAAAATCAAGAGACATGTGCAGATCAAGTTATTTAATCTCACAAGATTGGACATTTACCGGGTTGTGTTTGCTATTTTTTTATTTAAATAATTTTTTATTCAATCAAATAATAATATAAATAGACATACATATTAAATTGATTGAATAAAATAAAAATAAAAAATATTATATAATACTATAAATATTATCTAAAAATAAATATTTTTTATTTTTAAAAGAAAAGTGCCTGATAGAGTTGGTACTGTCTGAAAAATTAGGGTAGTGACTCTCTTGCTAAAAAAACTAATTTTTAAGTTATTTCAGTATAAAAACACCCCACTAACACCTCTGGAACACTCATAGTCTAATTAATTAGCTCAAAATACCCAAAAAATCCACAAATGAGAAATTAAACCGATTCATATTTATCTTTCTCTGCTTATATTTATTTTAAGCAGTTTATATTTATTTTTAACCAACATTGAGGTCTTAAACAACTATTTTATTTATTTTTAAGCAACATTAAGGTCTTAAACAACTACCTTTAAGCTTTTTTTATCTTATGAAACCTGTAAACATAAAAAACCTCTATTTTGGGGGTTGCAAATGACTTGAATGATGACTTCTCATTCATCACCAGAAAAACCAACGACACCTCTCTTTCAAATCAATAATTGAAAAATAATATAAATAAAATTTTATACTAAAATAAATTTATTTTTTTAAAAATTAAAAGAAATTAAATTGTATAATTAATATTATTTTTAAAGTTTGAGGATCTAAATGTATTTTTGATGAAATCTCTGGCACACTACCAACGTTTGATGCTTTTATTTTTATTTTAGTCTATTTTCTTTTAATTTCATCTTTGTCCAAAAAAAAAACAATTAGCTTTAAATTAAGATTAAATCACCTAAAATAAAATTTTGAGCATCAAAATTAATTATTATTATTATTTTTTATTAAAATTAATTATTAAAATATACACAGTATGTCCACAATGTTACGAATTTGTATATATAATATAATATAATAATAGTAGTTAAATAAACATAAGTTTCTTCTCAGATCCCAGTCCAAGTAGGAGGCTCCAACTATCCCATAATAAACCCATTTAGCCCTTCGTCAAATGGGCTGCAAGCTCCTCCCAATGGGCACCCTCATCCTCTTTTTTAACAGAAAGAAAGTTAGCTCGCAAAGGTTTAGCGGAGACTATATTTTAAATTGCATTTTATTAGCTTGATATGCTTGCCTGTGAAATATAACTAATTCCATATTAATATATTTTCTCCTCTTAATTTCAGAAACCCCATTCTTTAACTCAAAATTTAATTCAAGCATGTAGAAATTCCAATTTTTTCTTTTTTCTTTCTGTGTTCTGTATATCTCTTGAGGGAAAAAAATTAACGTCTTTTTCTTTGTTATATAAATTTATATTTTAATTTGTTTTTTAATAAAATATTAAAAAATAATTTCTGACACAGTTATTCTTACTACAATTAAATTTAAGAGAATAATCTATTTTCTAGAAATATAATTTACTATAAGATTTATTTGATAAGAAAATTTATTTTCCAAATTAAAATGCATTGAAAAAATAAGCTAACAAATATTTTAAATTTATTTTCCAAATTAAAACATAATGAGAAAATAAGTTAATAATCATTTAAAAAATATTTTTTATGCATCCAGTGTTAAGAATATCAAAGATATCATTACCGTGCTCCCTACAAACCAGGATGCTTGATTTCAAATGCTTCCTGTGTTATATTTAAACTTGTACTCTGTTGTGATCATCCCGAGAGTTATGATTGCTGTAACGTCTATATAATTATAATAATATACATGATTTGACTACTTTAAGTTAAAATCATTTTTCTCTGTATTGTCTTACATGGTATCAGAGTAAATCTAGCTTACGCCTTAAAGATCTCGCTTTCGCTTTTTCCAAAAAAAAAATACATGGCTGAGTCTGGTTTCTCCTCCTCATCCCACTTTGCTTTTCCCAATCTAACGCAACTTGTTTCTATCAAACTTGATGAAACAAATTATCTTGCGTGGACTGTCCAGTTTAAACCTATTCTCAAAAGTCACAATTTGCTTGGCTTTATTGATGGTTCTAACATCTGCCCTGCTATGTTTGTTGATGATAATGATGCCAAAAATAAATTCATAAATCCTGCTTATACCAGTTGGCAGAGTCGTGACCAACTTCTGCTAAGTTGGATCATCTCCTCTATTTCTCCAGCACTGGTGGCTTCACTCTATGGTTTGGACTCCTCATTTTTGGCATGACAGTCTTTTGCTGCTCGTTTTGCATCTCAATCCAAATCTCGCATCTCCCACTTGAAACGTCAACTACAGAATCTTCAACAAGGCTCCTTGACTTGTGCCTCGTATCTGACTGAAGCCAAGTTCTTAGCAGATCAATTATCTGCTGTTGGAAAACTAGTTGATGATGACAATCTCATATCCTTTATTATTGGGGGTCTGAATCCTACTTTTACACACTTTATTACATACTCTTTTCACACTCGGGAGGCTTCTATGTCATTTTTTGATTTCAGGTCTGAACTACTGAATCATGAAATAATTCTGAATCGTCATGCTCCACTCAATCATGCACCAGAGACGTCCTCTTTTACTTTATACACCAATCGACCAAAGTTTCAGCCTGTAAAACGTAAACTCCAATTTTCAAGGTCTTCAAACACCAACGCTGCAAAGCCAAATTTTTATGCCCATTCAAGTTGGAAACAGGACGTTCGTCCTGTTTCCAACTCTGGTGGTCGTTCCCTTTGCCAGATTTGCAAAGGTAATAATCATCAGGCACTGAATTGCTTTTGGCGAATGGACTTTCCTTTTCAAGGACATCATCCCCCTACAGACCTGGCAGCCATGGTTGCTGATATTAATACAGAATTCCTGAATTGTTAATGGCTTGCAGACAGTGGTGTTAATGCACATGTAACTAATAATACTGCGAATCTTGACTCCAAACGCCCATTTGATGGCAATGAGACTGTCGGTGTATGTAATGGTACAGGTTTGTCTATTAAACATACTGGTTCATCCATTGTCCACTTTGATAATAATCGTTTCCTTTTTAAGAATATTATTCATTGTCCTCAAGCTGCTACCAATCTCCTTTATGTCAATAAATTTTATGTCGATAATGATGTTACTTTCCATCTCACACATAATGCCTATTCGGTTCAGGACAATCAGACGGGAATCATGCTCCTTCAGGGTCCGAGTAAAAATGGGCTCTAACCTATCAATCTCTCCAATTTATCATAAAATAAACACAGAGGACTAATTGCTTTTATGGGAATTAAGGCATCTAGCTCTCTTTGGCATCAACGTTTAGGTCATCCATCTAAGTCTGTCCTGCGTCATGTTTTATCTAATTTTAATTTACCTCTTGTTGGTTCGGTGCAAAAGAATTTTATATGTGAATCTTGTCAACTTGGCAAGTCCATTTAACAACCCTTTTCCAGTTCAAATCGTGAGACATCATGTCCTTTAGATCTGGTTCACTTGGATATGTGGGTTGCACCTCTTATTTCACCTAGTGGTTTTAAATTTTATGTCATATTTATTGATGATTTTAGTCGCTTTACATAGTTGTATCCAATTGCAAACAAATCTGATGTCTTCAATTCTTTTGTTCAATTTAGACTACTTGTGAAAAAACAATTCTCATCCCCTATTAAATGTTTACAAACTGATAACGGTGAAGAATATATTTCCTCACTTTTTACTCGGTATCTCATGAAAAATGGTATTTTTCATCAACGAACATGTCCGTATACCTCTCAACAAAATGGTATTGCCGAACGTAAACATCGTCACATTGTTGATATGGGATTTACTTTACTTGCACAATCTGGCCTTAATAAGAAATTTTGGGTTGAATCATTTTTAACCGCTGCATATTTAATCAATAGGTTACCAACACCAATTTTAAATAATGACACTCCTTTTTTCAAACTACATAAAGATGCACCCAATTACTCTTTTCTACGGAACTTTGGATGTCAATGTTATCCCTTATTACGTCCATATGCTGAAAATAAATTGTCATATCGTAGTATACCATGTATTTTTATTGGTTATTGCTAAAGTCAAAATGGTTATAGGTGCCTTGATCCCATAAGTGAACGTGTTTACATCTCTCGCAGTGTTATATTTGATAAAAACTATTTTCTATCCAAAATAAAGATCCCAAATCACTCTCCTATTGGTGTCGTGATTCCTCCTGGTATGTCTTCTTCTCCCTTTCAAATTCCAGTTCCTACTAATTATTTATGTTCACCATTTATCAGATCCACTAGTATGTCTTCCTCTCACTTTCCAATTCCAGTTTCACCTATCCATCAGATTTCACCCCAACCACATGAGCCTGTACCAACTAATCATCCGCCCCATTCACCTCTCTTTGACTCACCTGATCTTTTGGCTTCTGTTGAGCACTCCCCTGTCCACCATATTATTACTCGCTCACAAACAGGACAGTCTCGACCTCGCTAATTCCCTAACTATATAACCCATTATTCCTCACGTCATCCACTTCACCTCTTCCATACAGTTACCATCCCTCCTGAGCCTAACACTTTTACACAGGTAGTCTCTAAACCAGAATGGCGTGCAGCTATGAAATCTGAGTTCAAAGCATTATTGAAAAATGGTACATGGTCACTCTGTCCACGACCTTTATCTCACCATATTGTCCGCAACAAATGGGTTTACAAGATCAAACAGAAACCTGATGGCTCTAGTGATCGTCATAAGGCACGGTTAGTTGCCAAAGGATTTGATCAAAGGTCTGGCGTCGACTACTTTAAGATTTTTAGCCTAGTTGTTAAACCGATAACTGTTCGTCTCATTTTAGCCTTGGCTGTACATTTTCGATGGACAACACGACAACTTGATGTCTCCAATGCTTTTCTTCAAGGATACCTTGATGAGGAAGTTTATATGGAGCAGTCGCAGGGGTTTATCAGTGTTGAACATCTTTATTTTATCTGTCGATTGCATCGCTCTTTTTATGGCCTAAAACAGGCACTACGAGCCTAGTTCACTCGTCTCTCATAGGTACTTTGTGATCTTGGCTTCTCTGGTTCTCAAGTTGACTACTCACTCTTCACTCTTCATAAAGATAAATTGCATATTTTTATATTAGTGTATGTCGACGATATCATCATCACTAGCAATGATGATTCTATGATTTTCTTTATTATCTCACAATTACAATGTAAGTTTGTGATGAAGGATTTAAGTGACTTATTTTTTAGGCATAGAAGCTGCACGTGATCAGACAGGGTTGCATCTACAATAGTCTAAATATATTGCTGATTTACTTGATCATGCGAATATGGTTGGTTCCTGACCTTACAAGGCTCCCTGTATTTCTAGTTCAAAGATGTCGAAATTTGATGGTGAACTCTTAATTGATCCCTCTGAATATCGTCATATTATTGGAGCCCTACAATATGTTACAATTACACGTCCTGATATTGCATATTCGGTAAATCAGTTATGTCAGCATATACAGGCACCTACCAGTACCCATTGGACTTCGGCAAAGCGAGTTCTTCGTTACTTAAAGCATACTCCTGATTTTGGTCTTCATTATAAACCTAGTACTGTTGCCTTACATGCCTTCTATGATGTAGATTGGGCGGGTAATCCTGATGATAGACGTTCTTCTAGTGGCTATGGCATCTATTTTGGTCGGTGTTTAGTTTCTTGATCCTCTAAGAAACAACCTGTTGTCTCTAGATCTAGTACTGAAGCAGAGTACCAGAATTTAGCCTTAACAACAGCTGAAGTATATTGGATCCGTATGCTTTTGCGAGAATTGCACATTTATTTACCTTCACCACCTACACTTTGGTGTGATAATCTTAGTGCCATGTTTGTGGCTTCTAATCCTATCTTTCATGCATGAACCAAGCATATCGAAATTGATTATCACTTTATTCGAGAGAAGTTTTTTAACAAAGATGTCGTTGTTCGTTATATTAACACCCGTAATCAAGTTGTAGATATCTTCACCAAGGGCCATACTACTTATCGGATTTGTATCTTGCGTGACAAATTATTGGTATGTTCCATGCCCACTAATTTGAGGGAAGGTGTTAAGGATATCAAAGATATCACTGCTGTGCTCCCTATAAACCACCAGGATGCTTGATTTCAAATACTTATTGTGTTATATTTAAACTTGTACTCTGTTGTGATCATCCCGAGAATTATGATTGCTGTTATTGTAATGCTTATCATCACAACTGTAATGTCTATATAATTATAATAATACACACGGTTTGGCTACTTTAAGTTAAAACCATCTTTCTTTGTATTGTCTTACATCCAGGTTCATAGTCTAGCGGTTTTGGTAAGAATTTCTTATATTTATATTCTAGTTTCGAATTTTTATGTACATGTTTGTCATCTTGCAGTATTTTATTCAGTACTTTACTTATTTATTGAATTTATAAAGTGTTTAGTAAATTTAAAAATTAATTATGGTAGATGACCCGATATCAGGGTTATTAAAAAAATATTTTTTTTTCTACCAGGATCACATCATTAGTGTTTGCATGACTGTGCATCCAAGTTTCCAGCTCTTGATGTGAATTGATACGATCACAGAGATGACTTTTGCAGGTGGTTATTGGTTATAATCTCATTTATAGCGAATGTCATCAATTATTAATTATTGCATTCTTTTTTATCAAATTAAATGTATTAAAAAATAACATAAAATTATTATTAAAATATTTGAAATAATTTTTTTGATATGATATTAAATTTTAATAGCCAAATAAATATAAGATAATGTAGGCTCATATAAAGATATTTGTTAAATATTAATAAATTATTCTTAAAACTTTATTATTGAGATGATCACACGATAAAATGCAATACTTATGCCTTCAATAAAATGCTATTTTTTTCCTTTTTATAGACAATTTTTCCAATTATTTGTATGGATGAATGTCGATCAAACTTATCATGGAGATATGAGACTTGAAAGTAATAGGATTTGGATTTGACACGAAATATTTGCTTTTGATTTAACTGAAATTGTACATGAACATAATCTTAGATCTGAAAAAAGGAATGAAGAGCTACCGTGCTCGGATGAAGCATGCACGGTAGTTTAGATTAATATATCAGTGTCAAGCATTAAATCCAAATAAAAGCAAAGTTATTTCCATCATTTTCCCTTCGTTATGAAAATTAAATTTGAAAGCTGACGAGAAACATCATGAAAGAGACATGGAGTTACAGCATCACCACGTATTTCAGACTCGCAGCACCCGCATTTATTTCTTGGCTGCCCACCTACACCAATCTATCTGTTTTAAACACAAGCCATTTTAGTGTCTACGTATCTCTCTTTTCTCCTTATCCCATAATCGTTGAATGATCTTTTAATCCCACGTCCATATATAGCATTGATGGTTAGTTGCTCGGTGATCGTTATTTTTTCTCTGGTCGGCCATTGATCAGTACAAGATTAATCGGCACGTTCCTCTTTCTTCTCTCGTGTTCCTCTATCCACTAACTCTCCTAGCTGAAAATTTGTGAGCGGGCACTATGGAGATAGAGGTGGCGAGTAGTAGTTACAGTGCTAAGAGTAGCAGTGTTAGTATTAGTACTAAAGGTGGTGATGGTGGTAGCAGTAGCATGTATCAAGATAAGGTGGCATCGGAAGTTGGAGTGGAGAGGGGGGTCTATTTGGTGTGGGAGGATCTAACTGTGGTGTTGCCAAATTTTGGAAATGGTCCAACAAGAAGGCTGCTCCAAGGACTTAGAGGGTTTGCTGAGCCAGGTAGGATCATGGCTATCATGGGTCCGTCTGGGTCTGGAAAATCCACTCTTCTTGATTCACTAGCAGGTATGATTCATTGCTTGGATCCCCTGCTCGCTCTCCCTCTTACGCGCACACATTTTCACAAATGTGCACAAACATACGGGCTGTGGCAATAGACTAGCTTCTTCCTTTCTCTTTCTTGGGTGGAAAATGGCTGTCTGCTTTGTCTCAACAGCCTCCCAGGACAAAATCATATATATATATATATATATCATTTGTTTACTCCTCCTCCTCCTTGGAAGTTCGCACTGTCCAAATGTAGTTGCTTGGATCCCTTGCTCACTCTCCCTCTCACGCGCACACATATTCACAAATGTGCACAAACATACGGGTTGTGGCAATAGACTAGCGTCTTCCTTTCTCTTTCTTGGGTGGAAATTGGCTGTCTGTTTTGTCTCAACAGCCTCCCAGGACAAAATCGTGTATTTATACATACATACATATATGTGTACATACATACATACATACATACATACATACATACATACATACATACATACATACATACATACATACATACATACATACATACATACATACATACATACATACATACACTGTTTACTCCTCCTCCTCCTTGGAAGTTCGCACTGTCCAAATGTAGGAGTAGAAATTGTGTGTTTTATCATGAGAATTTGGGATAGCATGTCCACTCAAGCTGCCTTCAGTTATCAAATAGTGGTACGCACTGTTCTTTTTTATAGAAAGGTTTCTTGGGCCAATGGAAAGATATGTGAAAGCTCGACCAGACTGCCACAGATACTCCCTTTCCTCTACAGGAAAGTTTTGCATTGACTTGGATACGACAAATCTAATATATTTTATCAAGATCCATGCCTAATTTCCTCAATTATATCAAACTAACCAAGTAACATGGTACAGAGTATTCAGACCATAGTTTAGTAATGTTTGATCGAATTTACAACACCAAAAAAAGGAAGAAGAAGAAGAAGAAGAAGAAGAAGCTGCCCTTCTAAAAAGAACAGTGTTTCCCTCTATCGAGATGTATGTGCCAAGCAGGAGTGAAAGACCACCTTGTATAGAAAATTAGAAATAAAAACTATATCCGAGCTCTCTTGGTGCTCACTACTTTATTTAAAAGAAGTGATTTTACTAATTAAGCGGTAGATTCTTGATAGATTGTCAGTTTCATTTCAATTTCCTGGAGAGACAGAGGACAGACAAAAAAAGAATACTACTCCACTTGATAAATTTAAAGTTTTCGTTTCTTGAGAGTTTAGCGTTATCCTTGATATATATATAGATCGGAAGAGTTTAGTAATGTTTGATCGAATTTACAACACCAAAAAAAGGAAGAAGAAGAAGAAGAAGAAGAAGAAGCTGCCCTTCTAAAAAGAACTGTGTTTCCCTCCTTTGTTAGCGGCTATCGAGATGCATGTGCCAAGCAGGAGTGAAAGACCACCTTGTATAGAAAATTAGAAATAAAAACTATATCCGAGCTCTCTTGGTGCTCACTACTTTATTTAAAAGAAGTGATTTTACTAATTAAGCGGTAGATTCTTGATAGATTATCAGTTTCAGTTCAATTTCCTGGAGAGACAGAGGATAGACAAAAAAAGAATACTACTCCACTTGATAAATTTAAAGTTTTTGTTTCTTGGGAGTTTAGCGTTATCCTTGATATATATGTATGTATGTATATATATATATGTATGTATGTATGTATATCAGCATTTAATTTCAATCAACCCCTTAGCTCTATTATGATATCAGGCAAGGCTCAAGACCTGGCCCGAGCTGGATTTCACAAAAAACAAGTTGATCTCGTGCAATAGTGTTAAAAACTCATGTCGAATTGACTCATAATCCCAGCAAATCTCATTTATATTTTTAAAATATTATTAATTTTAAAATAATATTATTTTAAATTTAGACTTATTTTTTAGATTAACCCTCGCAATCCATAACTTGATCATTGTATAGTTTATTTTCGAATCGGGTTTAATAACAATTCCCCTTAGAGACAAGGAAATGAGTGTCAAGAATTTAAATTACAGAGGAATGATCAAAGGGACTTCATCTTAACTGTAATTTATAGAAGTATTAACTAGCGAGTGATCATTAAATAAAAGATAAAAAGAAAGAAAAAAGACATACTAATCAATGAGCTGATAATTTTCACTCTACGTGATATAACATAGACATGGATACCTATACTGGGTAGAAAATATAAAGGGATTGGTTACTACCTAGGTACTTTGTTAATATGTTGGCAGCAGCATAGCTGATCAAACGTTTTCCTGAATTTTCAACCTTGTGGTTCTGAAATAGTTGACTTGTATAATCTTTTGCTAATAGCATTCATCATCGATCTTGCCACAGGTAGACTGTCAAGAAATGTCATAATGACTGGAAATGTTCTTTTCAATGGAAAGAAGAGGAGGCTAGACGCTGGTGTTGTGAGTACTGTCTACCTATATGCCACATCCAAGTCCAATAGGATCTGCAAATCTTATTCACATGGCCAATTTTATGAGTTGCATGCTGAAAAGGCATTTTAGACGTGGATTGCTAACTCTCCTATGAGCATGTTTCACCCTATGACTTGCCAATAAAATGAGATAAAATACTGCCTAATTGAGTTCTTTAGCACTGAATTCACGAGCATATGAAATTCTTATATTTCAAGTTTATAATAAGCTTCAAAAACCTTGCTGCAAAAGAAATATTCATAAACTATTTCTTTGACCTTATAAGCAGTGTGGTTTTAGCTTAACAGAATTTGTTCAACCGTGTAGTTTACCTGTGTTGAATTTCAGGCTTATGTGACACAAGAGGACGTGTTGTTAGGAACTCTTACAGTCAGAGAAACGATCACTTACTCTGCAAATTTAAGGCTTCCAAATACGATGAGAAAGGAGGAGATTGATTGCGTCGTAGAAGGAACGATCATGGAAATGGGTCTCCAAGATTGTGCTGATCGGATGGTTGGAAACTGGCATTTGAGAGGCATAAGTGGTGGTGAAAAGAAGAGATTAAGTATTGCAATAGAAATCCTCACAAGGCCACATCTCTTGTTCCTTGATGAACCTACTAGTGGTCTTGATAGTGCCTCAGCATTCTTCGTAATTCAAACACTTGGAAATATAGCTCGCGATGGAAGGACAATTATATCTTCAATTCACCAGCCAAGCAGTGAAGTTTTTGCACTCTTTGATGATCTTTTCTTACTCTCCAGTGGTGAAACCGTCTATTTTGGAGATGCAAAGATGGCTATAGAGGTATGAGAAGACTAGAGAAAAGAAACTTATATGCGTGATCTTAGAAATACAAGGTCAAGCTCATGCTGAATTACTACAATCTAATTATTGGTATCCATTTTCACAGTTCTTTGCTGAAGCTGGTTTTCCATGTCCAAGAAGAAGGAATCCTTCTGATCACTTTCTACGCTGTATAAATTCAGACTTTGATGCTATAACAGCTACACTGAAAGGATCTCAAAAAATTGGAGTATGTATCACTTCCAACTGCAACCTTCTGACGTGGTATTTTGAGTAACACTTCCTCATCGCATGTTACTTGTATCAGTCATTTCACAGATGTTAAACATCTTTTGGCAAGCTGTTTCAGGTTCTTTATGCCAATTTACCGGAAAATGAGGAATTGAATACAGCGATAGGATGATAATTTCCCAAAATAGTCATACAGTACATCTGGAATTTTCCTTCTTTTCTCTGAAAGTAGCAAATGGTTTGGAAAAAAAGTACATAGCAGACATTCCCAAAACTACCACCTTTTAAAACTGTATTTATTATAACTGCTCTTTTACTTAACAATAAACATTAAGTTGCTGAAAATTGGAACTTCCAAGTTTTTCAATTTAGTACTCTGATTACAAGTTGCTTCCATGTATGTATATAGCAAAGTGGTGCGAATGAGCATATTTATTTTGACTTTAATCTGAGTTGCGCCAAGTTCAGTTGTTCTGCTCTAAGAAGTATCTCTACATAACTTAATAGATTGTATGACCAGCAGAATTCTGCCTCTGCACAAACACACACATTCTCCTGTGGACGCCTTTATTCACTTTTTGTTTATGTTAATCATGCTGTCATGCAAGACTTATGCAACTGTCCTGTATCCGTCTTGATTATAGGATGTCCCTATCTCGGCAGATCCTTTGATGAGTTTTGCAACAGAAGAGATCAAATCAAGACTTGTTGAGAAATATAGGCGCTCGAACTATGCGCAGAAGGCCAAAGCAAGGGTTAAGGAGATATTAGCTATTGTAAGCAACTGAAATCTCAGATTTTGCAGCACTAATACTTCATTCCTGTCCTTTAGTGCTGTCAATATGCAATCTCACGTCACCACACGATATAACAATTCTGTTCTTTGCTATTCTTTTGCACCAATTACTAATACCAAAACTTGTTCAAAGTTCTGTGCTTTTACACTGCATTTTCCATTAAAAGCTGTAAGAAAAAATTTCCTCTGCTTGACGTGTTTGCTTATCTGCTCTGAATAATTTTAATGGACAAGCTAATAGGAATAATCACTGACTGTAGCCTCTTCTAAACATGTTTGATGAAAACACCTTTTGAAAGTTCATGCTAAATGCTGCTGTCTGTTAAACATTTCTTGAAGAAGCTCATCTATTGCAGGAAGGACTGGAAATTGGAACTCAAAGTGGAAGTGAAGCAAGCTGGCGAAAGCAACTCTCAACACTGACCCGAAGATCATTTGTGAACATGTCCAGAGATGTGGGATATTACTGGGCAAGGATAGTGATCTACATAGTTGTTTCCATCTGTGTTGGTACAATCTATCATGATGTTGGGTATGACTACACTGCGATTTTGGCTAGGGTAGCTTGTGGGGGATTTATAACTGGCTTCATGACTTTTATGTCTATTGGAGGCTTCCCTTCTTTCATTGAAGAAATGAAGGTAAAGATCTTGTTTATGTAGAAAAGATAAAATGATAGAAGAAGAATCATGAAGAAATCTGTGGCTGTGAAAAGATGATGGCATGGTAGAAAGATTCTTAATTTGTGGTCTTGACTCCTTGTTCTTTTATATATAACAGGTTTTTTATCGAGAAAAGCTTAATGGCTATTATGGGGTTACAGTGTTTATCCTGTCTAATTACTTCTCCTCTTTCCCGTTCTTGGTTACGATCGCTCTCCTCACCGGGACCATATGTTTTTACTTGGTGAAATTTCGATCGGGATTTAATCATTACGTATTTTTCTGTCTCAATATCTTCGGCGCCATTTCCGTTATAGAGAGCCTGATGATGGTTGTAGCTGCACTGGTCCCCAATTTCTTGACGGGACTTATTACTGGGGCTGGAATCATTGTAAGATCAAAACACTTCGATCTTCATTAAACATTTTGATTTCTATGTTGGCCATCTGATTTATCGGACCACTAACCTAATCTGGTTACTCATGCAGGGGATCATGATGATGACCTCTGGTTTCTTCAGATTGCTGCCTGATCTTCCAAAACCATTCTGGCGCTATCCAGTTTCGTATATCAATTTTGGAGCCTGGGGAATTCAGGTAATTCTATTAATTTCTCATGCATATAGTGAAGAATGATTCTCGAGAGGCATTAGAAGAAAACCATAATCATGCTTAACGAGATTTTGATAGTTTAACTCTGCATGAGATATTATCTCTATTAATTTCTCATACATATATAGTGAAGAATGATTGTCGAGAGGCATTGGAAGAAAACCATAATCATGCTTAACGAAATCTTGATAGTTTAACTCTGCATGAGATATTATTTTAATGTGTTTCTACAACTGGAAATGCCTGTTAGGAACAAGGAGAGTGGTTTCTTTAACCTCTAGATGAGATTTTACTTGTCTCATTGAGGAAGATAGAAGTGCAAGTTGACTTTGTGTAATGATTTTCTTGAAGAAGTTGGGCTAAACATCTCAAGACCTGCTTTATGTCTCGCAACAAAAAGCATGTCAATAACAACATCATATCCAGAATGTCATAATATAAGGAATAGCTGAGAAAGATGTTACGCAATCTGTTGTCCCTAATCACACATGCATGTAGCCTCATCCCCTTCAGCAGCAAGATTGAAAGAAAAGGATTGGTGAGTGGTGACATATTGACATTGTAGATTTTTAACCCATTCCTTACTCTACTGCAAATATAGGGTGCCTACAAGAATGATTTCCTCGGACTTGAGTTTGAGCCTCTAGTACCTGGTGAGCCAAAACTATCTGGAGAATTTGTTGTCACACGTATGTTTGGCGTCCCCCTAGATCATTCGAAGTGGTGGGATTTATCTGCTATTTATCTCATTCTTGTATGTTATCGGATTCTATTCTTCGTTGTGCTCAAGCTCAAGGAGAGAGCTTTGCCATTCGTTAAAGATCTTTACAGTAAGAGAACTTTGCGAATAATTGAAAAGAGGCCTTCCTTCAGGAAAACACCATCTTTTTCTTCCAGCAGGCGTCAGCCTCTCCACTCACTGTCTTCTCAAGAGGGTCTCAACTCTCCACTCAACTAGGAATCCCCAACAATCTCGAGTTGCTAATCAAGTTGTAATACATTCTGCTTGCTCTTATTGTTATTCGAAGTTCATGCGTACACAGCAGCAGATAATTAAAGATAGATAGTAGTCCTGCCGAAGGTGGACATGCAAGACCTCATCACTATTATTTCTGATGGATGCAATGAAAGCATACATGGGAAGTTCCCGAGCTTGTATTTAATTCTGTGTTACCCTATGTATTGTTGTCAACTTGTATTTTTTCCCCTCTTCTTTATGCTTGTGAATCATGCAAATTTCTTTTCTAGACTCGCCGAATAATGTAATCCTTACATATCTAAAATTAATGTCCTGGATTACTTTGCAGCATATTAAATCAAGAAAGGTATTTGTACTTATAACTATATTTA